GAGGAGAGATAGACTCACACGAGATGTATGCAAAAAATAACTCGGCAGAAGATTTCACAGGTTCTTGAGAGTGAAGCAAGAGTGTGTCAGAGATGGAGAGGTCAGTCACACCTAACAGTGACACGACCAACCATAATGTGATAATGATCCCATTATGATACGATAATTATATAATAGTGATATAGTGACATGATAATATAATAATTATAACTATTTGCGAAAAAAATATATACAGTATTTGTTTCATTATTAGGTTAAAAATTTTATTACAGGAAAAGGTCTATAGTTATGAATAGTATTTTAAGTAATATATATATTATATATATATATATATATATATATATATATATATATATATATATATATATATATATAATATATATATATATATATATATATATATATATATATTTATATTATAATTATACATATATATATATATATATATATATAATATATATATATATATATATATATATATATATATATATATATATATATATATATATATATATATATATACTTAGTAAAAATTAATTGAGCATTTAGTGGAATTCATTAATTACAAATTTAATACTAAATTTTAACTTTATTCCAGAGAAGAAAAACTAAAATAAGGAAATAATGATCAGACATAGTATGTTTAATGGCCATTTTAGGAGCTACATTAAAAACTGTTTCAGAAAAATACATTAAGCATACATAAACTTTGAAAGTTTTTGTTTAAAAATCTTCAAGTTAATTTTTTAAACTCGTTTTTCAAGTCATTCCACATTTTCAGTCCTTTCATCTACATCGAATTTCTATAGATTCAGGCGACCACGAGGGAATATCAAAGAGACATTTGCTTTCAGTGTGATACCTGTGTTCTGTAGCAGTTTTCCAGGAAGTTTCTTAGGTCAGCATCAACATTAATAATCAGTAGGTTTGAGATCTGAATAAGTACATAGTATGTTGCATGTAACTTGAGTTTGTGATGTTTGTAATTGACCACTTTTGTTGTTTGATGTTTGGGTTGAGGTGGAAAACTAAGGTAGAATCCGAGGCATAAATTTTTAATGAGTAAGAGAGAAATACATTGTTAGTGGCATAAATTTGGGAACATAATAGCGAATTTTGGAAAGTATACCTACATTTTATAATACTTTTTATAATGAGTTTGAAATCTTAATTAATTGTCTACGAGCAGACCTAGGAATCATCCTCATCCTTTTTTTCTGCACTTGATTCATTAATTTTGACATCTATATTGTTTATTCCCAAAAGCTTTTATCATCCGAATGTAAACATTTTATAGTTTATCATTAATTATAATGTTTAATGTCAGGGGGTCAAAGCATCACAAATTTTTGCCATCAATAAAGATTATTAATTTACGATGATGGGTGACACTGAGTAAATTAATATAGAGGAAGAGAAGAGAGCCTAGGATGCTACCTTGGTGGACACCTCAAATAATTGTTAGGGTGAGAAAGTGCTTTTTACGAATACTTTTTGTTGGTACATTAAGGAGGATTCGAAGTTGCTATATGTGTGCCCTCTGAGTTGTTGGTGATTCAAGTTTTCGAAGAGGATTATTGAGGAATCCAAATGTAAAGCCTTACACAGATCAATGAAATTTTTATCCCTTTCATGTGCATTTGATCTTATTACTGTATTAGTGCCTTTTATGAGTCTGAATCAAATTGGCAAAGAATAAGCACATTATGTTTGGGTACAGCTGCTTGTGTAGCGCTTTCTCAAATATTTTTTATAGTATTAAGTAAGTTAGATATTGGTGTGTAAGCTTTTTGCGACTGTTTAATCACCACCTTTGTGGATGAATGTTATTGAGACTCTTCCAAGACCGGAGAAGTGTGTTCTTCAAGTTATTTGTTGAAAAGTAGTGAAATAGGTGGATATATTATTTGTACAGTTTTCATGTTGATAATGCTGGGTATTTCTTATGTGCTACTTGCTGAATTGTGAAGATGTTTCAGAGGTTGTGGGAGGCGCTGAGTAGACTGAGTCTCAGTAATTATCAGACAGCTACTGATGGAACTCTGTGATGTTATTTGCAAGATTCCTTCCTACTATAGACAAAAATAATTTGCTTTGGAGAGTATTATTTGATTTTTATTGATTTTTGCCAGCCTAGAATTTGGGAGAAGGTTTTCAAAGTTTTTAATATAATTTCTGGAGTTGCTAAACCTATGGGAATATTAATTTTATTTATACACTCTATTCCTGAGAGGGATGTATAGTACTGCTTTATTATTCCTTAGAGAGAAGGCATAAACTTTATATTTTTTCTCTTTTTTGCTTCTTGTCAGTTGGTCTAAGTAAGGATTTTATTTTCTGAGTCTCTGGTTGTTTAGCGTTTTCCGTTCATTTGTTTGAATTTTTACGGAAAATATATATTGTCGTGAGGTTTTGCAATGTCGAGGACGTTTAGTACATCAAAAGTTACATTAAAGTTGGAATCCAGCTCTCTTGCAATTTGTGTTTAATTGCATCGATAGAGTTAAGTATGATTATCATAGTCTAAAAGTAATTTTTAGCGTTCAGAGTGAGATTTTTGAGATCACGTTAGTGATTAAAAAAAAAAAGTAGAGTAATGGTTATTTGGTCTATCCGGGATTATACCTGAATTTAGAAGTGCTATATATATTTGTCCAGTTATGATTTAGAACTGAAACTGATGTCTCAGAGGCTGGTGGGTTTTATGATGGAGGTTATTAGTGTTACCAGGCAAGATCACATACTATTAAAGATGATATTTGGTGTCGTTGCTTTGACAAAGATTTATGATGAAATCTCCAGTAATTATTAAACGGTTTTATTGAGTTTCTCATGTTTCTCAGGTTATCATTGAAGCAAATTTGCTTGATGGAGTCTACAGATTGCTCTAGTTGTTAAGTTATTAGTATTGTTTGTGGTGAAATGAACAAATGTATATTCACCATATTCACCAATGAGGTACACGGTATTCATGCAAATAAATTCCCTAATATACCCAGATCTGTTGAATACACTAGTGACGTTCTGTTTTAACCAGGTCTCTTATAATATAATGAAGGATAATTTGGTACTCGATGCCTGCTTAGCTTCCTTTGAACACTTGATCTATTTAAAAAAAAAAAAAAAAAAACTCGAAAAAAAATTTGCCGTGGATACCGAGAGGAGCCAAATTCATGAGGAAGATGCTTGTTTAGATTTTCAGCAAGACAGAGAAACCGAAACTCACCTTGAAAATAGAAAGCGTAATCCTAGTACTGAAGACGGGCAACAAAGGCGAAACTTTAAATTACAGACTAGCATTCCTGACACATATATAGTACAAAGTAAATGAAAGATAGTAAAAAAAAAAATGACGAAGCACCTAGCAAACACCTAGTTCCTCACAAAACTTCAGCACAGTTTCAGGAGTGGGAAAGCACGTCTCACAAACCTAATAAGAATCCTATGACAAGCTGACGGAGAAAAGGTAAAAAAAAAAATGAGGAATCAACGAACTGCAGATGTGAGAATCCGAGTGAGACACGGAAAAGTGTTTAACAGCAACGCAGTGATGAAACACTGAATCAGACACATACAGAAGTGTCACCAACAACACAGACAAGAGACACTGAATCAGACACATACGCACACACAGAAGTGTCAGCAACACAGACAGGAGAAACTGAATCAGACACAAACAGAGAAGTGTCAGCAACAACACAGACATGAGAGAGAGACACAGACACAGTGGTGGGAGCCAGGGTCTTCCCACGGGTGGCACAGACACCCTCGCTCACCTCCAGCTGGTTTCCGGACGACTGAGCTTGGCAAACACCGTCGACTTGCACAATTAGCGGTGGGTCGATTCCTGGCGCTGATTCCTTGTGTTAAGTTCCAAGTGGCGCCTCGATCCTCTCTGCGTGTTGCTAAATCGGTTTCGTTCCGGGGTTCTGAAGAAGTCTCGATTTGTACTTTATTTCCTTGTAAGGAATCTGAACGACTGATGTTGTCTCACCTTCGTAAATGGTATCTGAAATTATTTAATTTTTTTTGTATCAATTGTTTTATCAATGAATCCAGTGATAAAAGTTTTTTCTTCGCGAATAAAACAAATCTGTATTACATTATTTGGAGAAGGGTGAAAGTTTGCGAATTTATGTCGACGACGCGAATGGTTTAATACAAATTAAATTGTAGAAGTAGGTAGTCAAATATCCGAAGTTGTTTCACATCTTTAATTGTTCTGTCTCCGAGTCCCATGATTTAATATACTTCCTCATGAATGTGATTTAACACAATTTTTATTTGATTATGTGAAGTCACGTGAAGGATACAGACGGTTTACACAGACTTGTGGCTGCAAGTCAAGTTTGTTGACGTTTCAAGAAGACAGGATTCCACCTTCAGTAGTGACTATATATGTTTCCTGCTACCGTGATTACTACATTTGTTTTATTATTATTATTATTGTTATTATTGTCATTATTGATATTATTATTTATTATTATTATTATTATTATTATTATTATTATTATTGATATTATTATCGTCATTATTATTAATATTATTATTAGTATTATTGTTAATGTTACTATTTATGGGAAGCACTAAACCTGTAGGGGTTACATATCGGCTTGTGTTTCTAGATAAGCAAAATTTCATGTACTTTTTCTAAGTATCTTCGACCTTGTGGTGTATTCATGTTTGTTTTTCATTATAAATTAATAAACCAGTTCATTGTGTGTAGGTAAACCAGACTGTGAGATACCGTGACTAATCTTTGACATACTTTACTTACATGCTTGGTACTTCATTCCTGTTATTGTCTCCATTTTACTTATAATGCAGATAATATACAGGTGCCGAGGAAGCTGTTACTGTGGCAACATTACGCCCTAGACAGTGCGAAATGTCAAGAAATATGCTTGTTCTGCATGCCTTTCCCGTGTATTCACTTTATTTCTAAATAGCGCAGGTTTTCTGCTTGATGCAACTAACATTGACTTGTTGTGTGCTTGCAGGTTTGATATCTGCGGGAGTGTCAGTTCCAGTACAGATCCCCAGCCAGACCCCCGACCTGAGTGCCGCTAACTACTGGCCGAGGCTTCAGTGATGGTCTCTGATGCGGGAGCCGGACCTGTCCGCCTCGCACTATACACAAGTCTAGGCTCACTCCTGCTCATGGAAGGGCTGAGGTTCGAGTGGCTTTTTTTATAATAATGTATGGTATACATACCCTGGTGGTATGGTTGACCTTAGGGGAGTCACCTACCCATAGGTGCGGCTTGCCCATGGGATGTGGTTACCCATAGGGCATGGCCTATCCATACGGTACGGTTTACCCAAAACGTGTATCCTACCCAAGGGTCGTGATTTACCCATGGGGTGAGAGTTCACCCATGATGCGTGACCTTAGTGATAGTTCCTCCTCAGACATAACCAAGAATGGGCGGACTATCATGTGCCAATACTGTGCACAATAGATTTCTGATTTTGTACCGCTGTCCAGTTTTGGGCTGAAATTATGTGGCATCGTCGACGTTTCCGACCGTATGGACACAAACTTATGTTGTAGTGACGAGACCTCTTTTTTTTTTTTATAAGTACTTTTGTTCCCGGTAGAAGAAAACACAACTGTGCTGGGTTTTAGGACAAACTCGTGCAATCTGCGCTGATACTCCGGCCAATATTCTTTTTTTCTTTGAAGTTTCTCAAGCGCATGGTGATAAATTTTGACAGAATTTAACACAAAGAAACTCCCAGTTAGGTACAAATGAAGATATCATTTGTAACCAAAATATTATTAGCTGTATAATGCATGCAGTCATGTACATTGGTATATGATGAGTGAAAATGATGACGATACCCGTAGCTTAGAATTATTCCTTAGTTATATAAGTTGCTCGTGCTTCTGATGCGGCCACCAGCATCCCTAAGTCATATTACAGATTTAGTCACAGAAAACGATGGTAGAGAAAATGGAGTTAGTGAAAATGGGATGCTGTAGCCGAGCACTGAGAGACAGACAGGTGGCTGCCTACTCAGCTTCTGAGTGATGGAATGAAGCGAATGGCCTCTTGACACCTATTTATTATTGTATAAAGGTGTGAAACAAGAAATGTGTATAGAGTAGTAGACTGTGTAGTTTAGTTATCATATTCATGCGTATACACAACACAATAACTCCCAAGTTCATACCAACAAAAGCGAAAACTTACTCTCCCATGTTTAAATAGTTTCACCTCAACATTTTCTTTCTGCGATTTGAAATCGATCAGTTTATTTTCCAGGCACAAATCCTTTCCTCCTCGAGGCACTTAATGAGTAAAGAAACTTCTAATCACTAGATTTTTTGACGTGTGCTATAACAAGTGGCAGCGCAGGGTCTCAGTGAACCTTATAATAGCGGTTATTAAGGTTTACCTGCTGGGACCCCCCGTCAAGGCCTGCCCACGATTGATATCACTGCACTTATGACAAATTCAATCTGATCAGATATCAGACTTGGTTTCACCTGAATAGCGCCGCATTTCACGAACTAATTTCCCATAAAATTAGCGACAAAAGAGTTCATTCTGAGCGCATGGTGGGAATTTTACAGCGCATTGCCATGTTGAGAGTGTTCAGTGTAGCGGGAGGGGCGACCGCGGCTCCTTCAATGGCTGTCATTTGCAGAATGGCAGCGGCCCACGACTCTGTTTACGCTCAAAACACCCCCATGCTCGCCTCTTTTCCTCCAACCTTAATTGATTGGTGTTATGTGAATGGCTTACTCTATTTTATTTTGCACAAGTGAAAGGCCGACCTAAATAAGTTTTGTTGTTAGAGCGCTGCAAAACTGCCATGTTTTAAAATGATAAATTCTTTAGTTGTGAAATTAGTGAAAAAAGGTTGAGCATTCTCGTCAAAAATGTGCAAAAAGCTGTAAGTAATTACGAAACCGAGAAACTGTAAAACTATAAAATGCAAGTCTACTTAGTTTTTTTAACACTGTTGTGTTGTAAAGTGTATTATTGTAAGTGTGACTCTTGTGTTATGCCAGTAGCTTTCTCTTATATCCTACTCACTGTGTCTTTGTATTTATTTTTATACACCACATGAATGCCACACTACTGTATATGTATATATCTGACTCAATCATACAACCATAATCATAAATTGTAGTCAAGAGAATACTTAATGATAATATACTTGTTACACACACACATATACATTTGGATAGTAAAATGATGAAAAAATAAATGATGGACAAAGTGGCCTTTGAGCCGATTGTTTATACCTGAGGAAAGCCACAACTTCTCTGACTTCATTATCTTCTTCTCCTTCTATAATTTTGGGCAGCTGTCTGAGGGGAGTTAACAACATTGCCTTTATAATATATTAAACTATTGCTATTTTTCAGAGGTAAATTTTTCTGAGCTTTTCCGGGCTATCAATTATATTTTTTCCAGTGAAAAAAAAAAGTCAGTTGATATTTAAATGGAAAATTCGTGTGTTGCTTCAATTCCAAACAAGACCTCATATTTTATTCATTTGAACATCAAAATTATCATAAATTACACCGACCATCAATAGAAATTTATGTATGAAATCGGTACGTTTTATATATTCGCTTGTCATGAATGACCATATTCATCTTATTGAAAATATACTCTGGTTAATAATGTAGTCACCTAATTAAATGTTATGGTGCTACAACTCAGGTGAGAGTATCATAAATACAGCAGTAGCTGTCACCTTTATATAGCGTTAACTTGCCCATAACATTCCCTACATCATTTCACATAACAATCTATATATCCCATCAGTTTCACATTATTTACTACGACCTTCCGTGGTAAGTGAAAAAATATTTGAAATTGGTTTTACTGTTTTAAAATTCAGGAATATTTTACATAACAGTTATAACTATATGTATATATAGTTATAACTGTTATATGTTGATAAATTAGACACATGTGCAACTCTTGGGTATCTATATATATTGGGTATATATACACATAACTGTTATATATATATATATATATATATATATATATATATATATATATATATATATATATATATATATATATATAAATTTGAAAGAAGAACTAAGCATTCAACTGTCCATGTAAGCAAATTACTAGCATACCCTCAAAATATCTTTTCTATATCAGTATCGTGTGCACCTGAATCACAGTTCAAGTGTGTTTGTTAAGGGTTCATATAGAGGCCTTGAGTGTTCTTACTTTTAAAATCCAACAACATATACATACTTGATAAGGAACAATGTTTTAATAATAAAAAGTTTAAGAAACAAAGTAGAAAATAATAATAATAATAATAATAAAATAATAATAATAATAATAATAATAATTATTATTATTATTATTATTATTATAAAAAAGATATTCCTTAATAGTTAAGAAATGAAAGAAGGAATTATTGGGCAAGGATATACACCGAGAGGTGTATATATCCGCATATACACCGAGAGGTGTATATAGCTGGATATACGCTGAGAGTCTACTTTTACTCCCGAGTTTAGGGACATACAGCCTTAATAACCATCGTGTAGTCGATAAACTTTAAACCAAATTAACCAGCCAATCATGAGAGAAAAAAAAAAACAACTCCCCCAGGCCCAGGATATTTTCCCCAGACTATGATTTTGAAACCGTTTTTCTGAACATTTATTGTAAATTATGATTATAAATCTGGTTTTCCCACCACCCGCCAGTCATGTTGTGTGTAGTGGTTATTGTAAGATATATGAAATATAATGAAATCTCGACATATGTACTTTCATTATAATCCTATGTAGACTTAAACCAAATGAACTGTATACGCACACACATACATATATATACACACACACACACACACACACACACACACGCACATACATACATACATACATACATATATATATATATAAATATATTATTATATAATATTATATAAAATATATATATATTATATATATATAAATATATATAATAATATATATAACATATTTACATGTATGTATGTGTGTGCGTAAATCAGAATGCCTGGAGTGTTGTGAGAGCTGCAGGTTACAAGAATATGACTGATATCAAGTGACATCAGTTGTTCTTTTGCAGAGTCAAAACAGATTAGAAATATTTGCAGGTTGCAGAGGTTGTTGGAAGCGTTTGGAAGGGTCGGTGAAGGAAAGTGAAAGTAAATGCAGAAATGAGCAGGGTGTTGAGAATAAGAAGTCTAGAGAGCGGAAGCTTGGAGGTCAAGGTGGAAGGACAGTACATACAGAGCCAGTAAATGTTACTAGATATTTTGGAGTGGATGTATCGGCAGATAAATAAATGTAAGATGAGATTAATAAAAAATAGATGCGGAAGACTGTAGCAAGAGTGTTGGGAATCTGTGCGGGAAGAGGGGGAGGAAATTGTCAATGGATGCGGCGGAAGTAGAGGTAAGGTGAAGGGTACATACGAGCCAGTTGTTACAATGTGGGGGTTATGCATAAATAAATGTAGTGAATTATTAAAAATAGATGGTTAGCAAATTTGGAACTGAATGCTCAGTGTTGATGTAGAAAACGAGTCATGATGATCGACGGTCTTAATAGACACTAAACGTAGTTTTAACTATGAGTTAGTGCTATTTTTATTTATATAATACATTTATGCCAAATTTTGGCACCTTTTTTTATATAAATGAGTCATATGAATCGACCGAAGTCTTTGGATATCAGAGCTAGGGTAGTATAAAAATTCTGGCAATTAAATGATTTTGTAAAGTGAAATATTAAGGTTAGTATTACAATATTGCATATTCTACAGTCTACATATTTCCTCGTGTAAATAATGCAATGAGATACGATAACCTCTCAGAAATATAAACAAAATAACTGCAAACTTTTCACTTGTTGGTGACGACGTAACAAAGTCTATTTATGTACGTGCTTGACAAGTCTATTTATTACGTGCTCGGCAAGTCTATTTATGTACGTGCTTGGCAAGTCTATTTATGTACGTGCTTGGCAAGTCTATTTATGTACGTGCTTGGCAAGTCTTTTCTGTACATTATTGTCTTAAAAAATATCATCAACACAATTAGAATGTGAATAAATTAAAACCTTCCTGCACACTTTAGTTCCCAGTCGTAGTTGATTTTTATAATTTGTTTATCAAAGTTCGTCTTAGAATTTTGTCATATATCTACTAGAGAGAATATTTTGCCACAGAATTATTCCCCAGATATCACTTCCAAATAGAAATTGTGATCTCTTGTTATTCTTTTCATTGCAAAATTTTGAGGGCTTTAATAAATTCAAGAATTTACATCATTGCATTGCATTCAAAAGTAATTCTGAGAATTAGACACATGTGCAACATCTGGGTATCTTTATTGTAGACGTTTCGCCATCCAGTGACTTTATCCAAACATGAGGTATTGAATCCCTCAGTCTTGGAATTGGTGATCTTCACACCAATTCCAAGGTTGAGGGACTGATTACCTCATCTTTTGCATATAGTTCAACTGTCTTCAAATTATGTCCTTAAATTTGTATTGATAAAGCTACTGGATGGCGAAACGTCTACAGATACCCAGATGTGTCTAATTTTTATCTTGTCGGTATTGTACACCATCCATGTACAAAAGTAATTCTATTAGATGTACCTACCACCTTAAGTTATGGTACTGAGAGCCCATAATCATGGCTTATACATTGTCAAGAATTCTCGGAGAAGGATCCTGCATATATCGTCCTGGAGTGCTCATTATTTTCTTCTATCACTCCACTGATTCCTGTGATTTATTTACTGCACCGTTAGATTGAAGTATAATTATTTTAAATAAAAAATGGTTAAATATTTTAATATAATGTATAAAATATAATATTCACAAAAATACGGCGACCTGTGTAAGTTATTTACAACAGAAAAACTATTATTATCAAAGACATTTTGATATAATTTATTTTCACATAAGCAAAAGCCTTGGGAAGAGTACTGCAGCTCTCTCTCGCGGTAGAAAAGAGAATTACCTGGACTACAGTTCACCTACACCTTCATAGATGGCGGTAATACCCGTGATACGAAATATAAACCTATCTACGCCCCTCTCAAGAGATTTTACCATCAATGTTCTCTGACTGGTATACTCTTTTTTATGTTACATGCTCCCTTTACGTTTATAAATTACATTTTCTTCTAATTTTAATCCAAAATATTTGCTGAAGGTGTGTACTGGCCCACCTTCCTGGGCGACATTTTCTCCCTTAACTTGGCCCTTTCTGCCTCTACTCCTCTATTGATTATTTTACGGTCGACTCGCTGTGTTTTACTAGTTATGTCATCGTCACTCACAGTAAGAGGGTCAACCAGCCATAAAACAAGTGTAATTCCACTCTTTACAACAGATAAGTAACTTTGAGTTAAGTCCTATTGACTTGAGGTAGGTCATAAGGGACTTCACCTATACACTAACATCAACTTAAACATGGAATACGCTAAACTCTCAGTGCATTTACACAGCCACATACAATTTTGTGTATATATATATATATATATATATATATATATATATATATATATATATATATATATATATATATATATATATATATATATAATATTTCGTGGGGCAGAAAGAGTCTTGCACTAAGGAAGAGTAGTGTTCAAAGATGTAAATTCATTAATAATTTACTTATGTTCAAGGGAAAGTTTAGTGCTTACTAAACCCGTAGGGGTCACACAGGGTCTGGAAAATGGAAGGAAATCAGACTTGATCCAATGAAAAGTATGGCAGGATCAAGTGCCCTGATCAGTATCAAGGTACTCTTATACTCTGTGACAGCCAATCCTGCTACACACAATCAGTATTTCACTGACTCTATGTGGCAGTATGATGGGTGACGTAACACAAGCCTTAAACAGTGATTATCTGACTGTGTATTGCAGAGTGACGCCTTGTGTTTTGTTCGTCCTATGTTTAATATTTTATTTACTGGAGTTGTGGTATGTTGTAATTGATTAATTTTTATAAATATTTGGCGACCTAACCTAACATTTCCTAAATAATGTGAATCTAGAAATATGTTGAAAACAGTATGTGAGAAGTAAACATGGAAGACAGGAGGCTGGGCTAAATCTTGATGGGTAGGTCACGTGACTCACTCTACCTTTAATGCACCTTTGAAGGGTTTCTAGAGTTTTCTTACTCTTGCAGCCTGGCCTTGGGCCAGGCATGTCTGGTGCTTGTTTTGTTAACCAGGCTGTTGCTGCTGGCGGTCCGCTGGTACACCATATAACAGCACACACTTCACCCTGTATATATATATGCTAAGGCCATTATAACATTATCAACAGGTATATACACCGAGATATACAATGAGAGTTATTTTAGCCACTGATTTTAGGGATTATCCTCGAGTGATAGTGAGCAGGTGTCACACAACCTTGATCCAACCAATACTCTTCTCCATCCCCTTCATCCAAGAAGGTACCTTCATGCCGGTGGTTTCTTGATCCAGGGAATTGGATCAGCAACTCCAGCCCTCTCTCTTATCTTATATTGAAGTGACTATAGTTACTCACGGATGCCACTCAATTACTTTAGGTACTGTAGTAACAATATATCGTGTCAGCACAGAGTGGAAAATTAAGAAAATATTTCTTTATATTTAATTCATGGTAAAGCGCTAAACCCGTAGGAGTTATATACCGGCTGGGTAACGGGAAGTAATCAGATTTGATCCAAGGAAATGAAGAATGGCTCCAATTCCTTCAATCAAGAGCCCTTCACCAGGATCAAAGCAACTCGAAGAGATTAAGAAAACACCGTAAGAAAATTAAACTGATTTAATTAAAATTATATATCTACACACACATACACACACACACACACGCACACACACACACACACACACACAACACACACACACACACACACACACACACACACACACACACACACACACACACACACACTGTGTCTAATCG